GCGGTCCCCGAGCGAGGAGCTTCTGGGATGGCTGCGCCCGCGCCCAACGGCCGGCAGGTCCCCATGGCCTCTAGGGGGCGCACGCTGCAGAGTCTGGTCCAGAGGGATCTAGAAGCGCCCCATCTCCATCTGCTCTGACCTGGGACCTTTCCAATTGCTCTGGACCCTGAGGCCCCCGTTTTTGTAGAGATCACTGTATGGAAACTAATACTTAATACATATTATTATCAGGTAACACAAACTTAGCAGCGAGTTTAGCATTGCATGTCAGCTTATTCTACCTTCCAAATCTATTATGACACCTTCCTCAGTCTATTTTATCATTTATTGTATAAAGTGAATATAATTTATTCTTCCCAAGGTTGTTGTGAGAATTAAGTGGATAAGAAATGTTAAATGCTTCATGTATAGCAGGTATGCCTTTCGGGACAGTGAACATTTATTTAGTATCTAGGATGAATGGTAATAATAGCTCATACTTATGTGGCACCACTCTTTTTGTTGTGGTGGTGGTGGAGGTGGTAAAATTCATATAACATAAAATTTGCCATCTTAGTCATTTTAAAGTATACAATTTGGTGGCCTTAATTACATTTATGCTGTTGTACAACCATTACCATTGTCCCATTCCAGAACTTTTTCATCACCCCAAATAGAAACTCTGTATCCATTAGCAGTCATTCCATAACCTTCCTGCTCTAGCCCCTGCCAACAACCAACCTGTACTCTGTCCCTGTGATTCACCTATTCCAGATATTTTATATCAATAGAGCCATGCAGTATATGGTCTTTTGTGTCTGGCTTCTTTCACTTAGCGCATTTTCAAGGTGTATCCACCTTGTGTTATGTATCTATACTCCTTTGCTTTTTTTTTTATTGCTGAACAACATTTTATTGTACCACATTTTGTTGGTCTATTCAATAGACTCTATTGGTTGATGAATGTTTGGGTTGTTCCTTCATTTTTTCCTAATAATGAAGTAAGGAAGACTGCCTCTTACTGAGAGCTCAGACTGTGTCACCAGCTGTGTAAACACGTCACAAACTGAGACAGGGGACCTGCTGTCTCACTTTTCAAGGACCACTCTTCCCACTCCCCCACCATTGACCACTCTTTTTTTAAAAAAAAATTTTTAAATATATTTTATTGATTTTTTACAGAGAGGAAGGGAGAGAGATAGAGAGTTAGAAACATCGATGAGAGAGAAACATCGATTAGCTGCCTCCTGCACATCTCCCACTGGGGATGTGACCACAACCCAGGTACATGCCCTTGACCGGAATCGAACCCGGGACCTTTCAGTCCACAGGCCGACGCTCTATCCACTGAGCCAAAAAGGTTTTGGCCATTGACCACTCTTGAACCCTGGGAAGAAAGGGCACTGCTTTCAGTGGGAAGCTAGGGACCGGACAGCAGCCAGGACCAGACCCTCAAGCCCTCACTCTGAGGCTGCAGCATTAGGAGCCTGCTCCATGGGGAGGAAGCACATCAGAGTGCAGGCTCCGTGGCCCTAGTTCTCCTCTTCCCTGCAGCACTGGGGGAAATCAGAGGGGCCAGCCTGCAGTGGATGCCCAGCTGGGCCCCAACACTGGGCCTCCAGACCTGTGATGGCTCCAGGACATCAGTAAATACAGAGTGAGCATCCTGGAGGTGGACCCAGGAGAAAAGGGTGCCTCCAGGAAATCGCCTGGCATCTGCTATTGCTCTGCTCAAATCCGGTTTCATCGAGATGTGCATGTATTGGGAAGCACTGGATGGAGAGAGGAGCATTCAGCTAGAAAGAGTGTGACCTGGGTGTCTTCCCCACTGTCTACCTCGGGGAGGAGCCATGGGAGAGCTTAGAGGCCCTGGGCTGGAGACCCACCAATTCTGAATATGTAACCGCTGCAGAACGTAAAAATGGAAAACGAATTGAGTCAACTCCTGTCGTATAGCAAAAGCTCCAGAATGAAATGCAGGAAACACTGCAGGGTGAGAGTGGAGGGTTGCTCAGTGGATCCCAGGAAGTGACAGCGGCACTACTTCCATCCCCTCCTCTGCCCTTTTCTCCCCTTCCCTCTTCCTCCCTCCCCTTCCCTCTCTTCGCCAGCTGCGGAGAGGCCCGTGGTCCAAAGCAGGGAGAACCACCCTCACCCCTGGCACGTTCGGGGCACAGAGAACAGAGACCACACAGGCTGCAGCCCACTCAGACTTTATTCAAAGATCAGGATGTGCGGGTGGAGGAGCGCCAAGGGGCCCCGACCCAGGGCAGGCATGGCCGCGGCTCCAGCTTAACGGTACTTGGAGACCAGCACGGTGCTCACGGAGGCCATGAACTTGTCCAGGGAGGCGTGGATGGCAGGGGTGAACTCATTGGGGTGGTGGCAGGCCAGAGTCACCAGCAGGCAGTGGCTCAGGAGCTGTGAAGAGAGCGGTGTTAGGGGGCGTTAGGGCGAGGCCGCCCCGCGCCGCGCCACCTGCCGGACCCCACGGGAGCGCTCCGCCCAGATCCCTGCGGGCCCGGCGCCCGGCTCACCTTGAAGTTGACGGGGTCCACACGCAGCTTGTAGGCGTGCAGGTCGCTCAGGGCGGACAGGGCGCCGGGCAGGTCATCCATGTGGGCCACGGCGTTACCCAGGGCGTCGCCCACCTTCTTGCCGTGGCCTTTGACCTGGGCAGAGCCGTGGCTCAGGTCGAAGTGGGGGAAGTAGGTCTTGGTGGTGGGGAAGCTCAGGAACATCCTGCGAGGAGAGGAGGGTGAGAGGCGGCTGGGGGTGGGGGTTGGGGTGAGGGTGGGGGTGGGGGGGTGTGGGGCAGGGTCATGGGCCTGGGATTCGGGCGAAAGCACTGGCTGGCCTCTTGGGGCAGGTCCGCGCTCTGGACCCCGAGAGCCTGGGATGCGGGCGCCGAGGGGAGGCTGCAGGCGGTGGGCGGGGGCGGGCGCTCGGGGTGGGGGCGGGGTGGAGGCGGGCACCGGCGGTCCTCACCTCTCCAGGGCCTCTGCGCCATAGTCGCCGGCATGGGCGCCAACCTTGTCCCAGGCGGCCTTGATGTTGGTCTTGTCAGCGGGAGACAGCACCATGGTTGCTTCTTTCTGGGTCTGTGCGAGGACCAGAAGGGGTACCGGCCCGGAGAGTGAGGAACTTTTATGCCCGGGGCGCAAGGGGCACGCCCGTCGCGGCCGCGCTCATTGGCTGGATCCGAGCCGGCGATGCGCTGCTTGGCCAGCACGGCAGGGGGCGCCCTGCGCCCAATCTGCATCTTGCTAGAGCAGCGTGGGGGCTTTGTTCCTAGTTTTCGGAGGCGCCCAGTGTCCTGGGACAGGATATTTCTCTCTCGCAGGATGCGCTGCTCCTGAACCGCTGAGTTCAGCTCCCCCGGAAGTAGTATCATGGCTCCCCAGCTGGTGGGGGGCGGTTTGCAGAGGTGGGTGGATGCTGGCTCTTCCACTAAGTGAGTTCATGACACCCCTTGGGGTCTCTGAGCTTCCTTAGCCCCAGGTTGCTCTCACCTGAGGACCCGCCCTGGACCTAGGCTTGGTACACGCTGGGTGTGTTTAACTTTGGCAGAATCGGGGCATGAATGTGCCATTGAGTGCGGGAAGGAAGAAAGGCCTGCCTAGTCCAGGACAGAAAGAGATAGGTCGTTGCTCACATGTTGTCAAGAATTCCCGCCTGGAATCCTTCCTGCTTCCCTTCAGTCTTGATTCTTCCAGCCCCCAACCCCCCGCAAATAATCATTGTCATTGACCACCCGCCTGGGAGAAACAATGCTGAGGAGCAGGTTCCCATGGCTGGGGTGGGAGGCTCCCAGCTCCCAGCTCCAGCTTCTCCCAGGGTGGTGGTCCTGAAGCCCTGTCTTAGGAAGTCATCTTGGTGGACTCTCCTATTCAGGATCCCTGTGTGAATGTGTGAATGACTGTCTCTCTCCATGACTGACCAAAAGGTTCTGGGTCACCATGACAACACTCCCTCCTGTCCCCCAAATTGTGCCTGACACAGACTCACTAGGTAAATAGTGGTTGAATTGATCAAGTTGCTGCTTTAACAAGAGCTGAGCTTTCAGCCTAGCTAGGGACATAGACAGTCATCAGATCATCACACAAGTACCTACAGTCTCAAACCTGACTAAAGGGCCTAAGGAAGTATGAAGGGGTGGATGAGACATTAAAAGATACTTGGGTTAGTCTGAGGGTCAGGGTGGGCTTCCCTGAGGAAGTGAGACTGGAGGCTGAGTAAGTATTAGGTGGAGTAGGGTGGAAGGGGAGCCGCCCTCTGTGGCTTTAGAATGGAGGTGGTAGGTGTGGGTGTGAAGAAGCTGGCCAGACTCTGCACGATGGGGAAGGGAGGGACCTCTGGAGAAGGGAAGGGGAGGGGCAGAAATTCCGGCTGGTGCAGTCCCCCTGCTGGTGACAAAGGATGGCCCCTTGGTCTAGCTGGTGGGAGGGAGTTCCTGATGAGGTTAAACATCAGAACTGGGTGAAGAGAAAGGGAGAGAGGAAACACGGATATGCCCTTTCTTGGGAGCCTGGAGGAAGACTTAGCTTTGGGGAGTGGGTTGGATGGGTTTCCTCCAGTCCACCCCTCTGCCCCCATCCCTCCCTTAGGTCCTTCACTCAAGACTTGCCCAGTGTGACCAAAACAGATCCAGAGACAGAGAAGCATGGATCAGACTGTGAAACCTCAGAGGGAAGGTAGGGGAGGGTGGGGGTAAGGGGGAGAGATCAACCAAAGGACTTATATGCAAGCATACAGGCCTAACCAATGGACACAGACAACAGGGGGCTGAGGGCATGAGTGGGGGTGTGGGGGGACATGTGGGGATAAGGTCACACATGTAATAACTCCATCAATAAAGAAATTTAAAAAAATAAAACAATAAAATAAAAATAAAAAGACTTGCCCAGTGTGTCCAGGAGGAAGTGATGGTTAAGCTGACTTGGACAGAGAAGAAAGCAGCTTAGACAAGCCTCAGCAGCGCTCCCTGGGCTCTGCCCTCTGTGTCTGCTCTTATCATTTTGTTCCTCCTGGACCCTTTCCCCACTTCATTCCATTTTCCCTTCCTATTACTCTTGCTCTTTTTCGGATTCTGTCCACAGCCTCAGCCCCATCCTGGCTCTGAAAACAAAAGGGATAAGACCCTGGGGGCTCAGAAGCACCCAATGCCATTCCTCAGCCGGCCTGGGACCAGCCCTCCTTCTGCATCTGGCTCCAATCCTCCTGCCCCCTGAGCCCTTTAAGGCAAGACTCAGAGAACATTTCTCAGTGTATAGCTCACCCTTCTCATATGGGGAGAGCTCCCACATATAAATAAGGAAAAATGGCTTAAGAGAACAATTGACAAAGGAAATTAACAAAAATGTAGAAACAACCAATACTTCGCTGAAAATGACACAATTGAATAAACTAGCCAGAAGAGATGTAGAGAAGACAAGATTGAGTGAGAAGAGCAGGTTGCAGACAAATATCTATGTTAGGATGATATTTTTGACAAGAAAAAAGTGTAGTTGTAAATGGAGCTGTGTTCCCTCAGCGCAGGATAGGAGCCAGTGGGCTTAGTCCCATACTCTTCACTTGGACTCCTGCAGCAGGAGGGGGGCAGCAAGGCAGAGGGACATCTCTCATTTGAGTAACACAAAAAGGCTGTGTGTGTGTGTGTGTGTGTGTGTGTTAACATAAGTGGAATTTAACTCATATCTTAATTGTTTTTTCCTTTTTAAATGAAAGTGAGTGGGGCCCTAGCCGGTTTGGCTCAGTGGATAGAACCTCAGCCTGTGGACTGAAGGGTCCCAGGTTGGATTCTGGTCAAGGGCACATGCCTGGGTTGCAGGGTTGATCCCCAGTATGGGGCATGTGGGAAGCAGCCAATCAATGATTCTCTCTCATCATTGATGTTTCTCTCCCTCTCCCTTCCTCTCTGAAATCAATATAAATATAATTAAAAAAATAAAAAATTAAAAATGAGTTCGTCTGTGAGGCCCAGGAAACGTGTATGGTGGAAGGAGGAAGCAAACTCCTCAGTTCTTCAGAGCCCCATGTCCCCCCAAAAAGTGGAGAGCAAGGGGTTTGTGACTCTCCCCAAACTTTCATCCAGCATTGTGTGCTGCCCTAGAGACTGGGGCTGGGCTGGGCACTGGGCTGAGAAGGTGTCCCTCAGGAGGCTGCAGAGGCAGGTGGGTGTGGAATCCAGGACTTCAGCACTCACTCGGGACAGGGGACTACCTAACCACAGTATTGCTCACAGTCCCATAGATCAGCTGGGGGACCCCCGGAGCCTCCAGCTACAGAATGGGGACCCTGGGTGGGGGGCGATGAGCTGGGGAACACAGGGGTGGGAGCACTGAGCTATTAATGTGCCTCGTGAAGTGCAGAACAAGGAAGCAAGGTGCTCTGCTAGAGTGCTCCCCCCAGTGCACTCTGAGTGCTGCAGGCAACGCGTCCCTCTCTGCTGCCCAGACCCTTCTGCCACCTGGCTGCAGAGGGTTTTGTGACCCAGGAGGGTGCTTGAGACTTTGACCCCCATTCCAACCCACCTTCCCTCTGGCGAGAAGGAGGTGAGAGTCCCATAGAAGTGGTCTAGCACCTGCCTTTGCACCAGGAGAGGCATTTTTGGAGAGTGTGATAGTTTTGCTTTGCTGTATTTTGATCTCCATAGTCTGTTTAACAGCGATCAGAGCAGAGACACTTCAAAGTGAGAGACAGTTCTTACACTCCCCACCTCTGCCCCAGAGAGAGACCCTTGGAATGTGGCTCAGCACATTCCTGGAAGTGCCAACCTTAGATCCCTTCCCTCTTCGTGGTCCGAAGCCAGGAGAACCACCCTCACCCCTGGCACGTTCGGGGCGCAGACAACAGAGACCACACAGGCTGCAGCCCACTCAGACTTTATTCAAAGATCAGGATGTGCGGGTGGAGGAGCGCCAAGGGGCCCCGACCCAGGGCAGGCATGGCCGCGGCTCCAGCTTAACGGTACTTGGAGACCAGCACGGTGCTCACGGAGGCCATGAACTTGTCCAGGGAGGCGTGGATGGCAGGGGTGAACTCATTGGGGTGGTGGCAGGCCAGAGTCACCAGCAGGCAGTGGCTCAGGAGCTGTGAAGAGAGCGGTGTTAGGGGGCGTTAGGGCGAGGCCGGCCCGCGCCGCGCCACCTGCCGGACCCCACGGGAGCGCTCCGCCCAGATCCCTGCGGGCCCGGCGCCCGGCTCACCTTGAAGTTGACGGGGTCCACACGCAGCTTGTAGGCGTGCAGGTCGCTCAGGGCGGACAGGGCGCCGGGCAGGTCGTCCATGTGGGCCACGGCGTTACCCAGGGCGTCGCCCACCTTCTTGCCGTGGCCTTTGACCTGGGCAGAGCCGTGGCTCAGGTCGAAGTGGGGGAAGTAGGTCTTGGTGGTGGGGAAGCTCAGGAACATCCTGCGAGGAGAGGAGGGTGAGAGGCGGCTGGGGGTGGGGTTGGGTTGTGGGTTGGGGGTGGGGGGTGCAGGGCAGGGTCATGGGCCTGGGATTCGGGGAAAGCACTGGCTGGCCTCTTGGGGCAGATCCGCGCTCTGGACCCCAAGAAGCTGGGATGCGGGCGCCGAGGGGAGGCTGCAGGCGGTGGGCGGGGGTTGGGCGCCCGGGGTGGGGGCGGGGTGGAGGCAGGCACCGGCGGTCCTCACCTCTCCAGGGCCTCTGCGCCATAGTCGCCGGCATGGGCGCCAACCTTGTCCCAGGCGGCCTTGACGTTGGTCTTGTCAGCGGGAGACAGCACCATGGTTGCTTCTTTCTGGATCTGTGTGAGGACCAGAAGGGGTACCGGCCCGGAGAGTGAGGAACTTTTATGCCCGGGGAGCAAGGGGCACGCCCGCCGCGGCCGCGCTCATTGGCTGACGCGATCCCAGGAGGTGGGGCCGAGGGCAGGGTCCGGAGAGAGGCAGCGGGCGGGGCTTCCAAGTCCCCCTCGGCCTCTGGGTCCCCCGCTGGCCGAGTTGCAGCTCTCCAGGGTCCCTCTCCTGCCGCGCCAGAGCTCCGGTTCCCACACGGGTTCCGGAGCCGCCCACCTCCCCGTGCACCCGCGTGTGGCCGGGCGAGCCTCCAGGTGCCTGTCTGCCTGTCCTGGAGGGGAGTCCAATTTTTCTGAATTGAAACATACTATCTTCTCACCAGTACCAACAGCTTGGGGTGGGGAACCTATTTCGGATATTTATAACATCAGTGGCGGGCCATCCAAAATTATCACATTAAAAATTAGTCTGGCCCTCGCTGGTTTGGCTCAGTGGACAGAGCGTCGGCCTGCAGACTGAAGGGTCCCAAGTTTGATTCCAGTCAAGGGCACATGCCTGAGTTGCAGGCTGGATCCCCAGTGTGGGATGTGCAGGAGGCAGAGGATCAGTGATTTTCATCACTGATGTTTCTATCTCTCCCTCTCCCTTCCTCTCTAAAGTTAATAAACATATATTAAAAAAATTAGTCTGGTATATTTGGTCAAACATTTAATGAACTCGCCCCCAATGCCTCGGCAGGGCCAGACCAAATGATTATATGGCGTGTAGGCTGGAGGTTCCCCACCCCAACAATAAAGGATAATATAGGGTGAATCCTCCACACCCTCCTGCTCCCAGTGGTGGGCAGGCCTCCTGGTCAGCAGGGGAACTCGGTTGAGCCATTGTCAGGGCTAGTGTCCAGCATCCCTCTCAGACTTGGGCGCCCACCCAGTCCCATCCCCACCCTCAGTACAGATCCCGCCAGTCCTCATTCAGAGTCTGCAGAGCACCAGAGTCCGCTCCTGGCTTCTAGTCCCTTGTCCGCAAAGGTTATGGGTGGGGCGCTAAGGTTTCTGCCCCAATCAGCAGGAATAGAGATTGGGGTGAGGGGCTTGGGAGGTGGCCTTGTCCAGAAAACCCACAGAGCCTGAGACGCTGGGGCTGGGATGTGGGGTGGAGGTTGGGCTGCCATGGTCCTGCCAGACACCGACCTTGTATTATGTATGACCTGGTTGGAAACCTGCTCTGTCTGCCAGGTTGTGGGGATAGGAGTTCCTCCGAACTCTCATCCCTAACCCAGGGCATTCAGAGAAAGGGGCTAGCCTGGCCCAGGGCGAGGGCTGCTGCCCATGGCGCGTGGTGGTGGTGGGAATGTGGAAGGAAGCGGAAAGGAACAGAGAGGAGGGTCTAAGAGCCCTGGGCCCCGAATTGTTTGACCTCAGACCAGGAACTTGGCCCCTGTGCCTGGTGCCTACATCTTTCTGCAAAGGAGGCTGAGATTCATGCTGGCAGTTCCCAGTGCGAAGTGGGGGTGCAGGGGGAATAAATGG